ATTAACCTCTAATGCTCCCGCGAGCTCTGTGTCTTCGACCGCAGGAGCTCAGGGCCACTGCTTGAGCCCAGCTCATGGCCCGTCTACTTCCCTGGCTATTGCCGGGCGTCTGATGATGCAGGACGTCCTGATCTTTCCAATCAAAAGCGTCTATGGAGACTGGGCAATCTTACCCATTTCGCTAAGGGGAAACGTCGCCATACGAGCTCTTGGGTTATCATCGCAAGTGCCACATATTCAGCTTTCGCTGAGTAAACCGCAACGATTGCTTGCCTCTTGCTCTTGTACACAAGTGGAGCTTCACATTCAATACCAGAACACCAGAAGTCGAACGGCGCATAGCTTGATCTCCTCCCCAATAAGCTTCGTTTGAGGATTTCAATCCACTTGGCTGCTCACTGCTATTCACGAATCGGATTCCAATTGCAGAAGTTTCTTCCCAGTATCGCAGGACCCTAATTGCTGCACGCCAAATCATTCCACAAGGATCATAAAGATACTGGGATAGTACCGACAACGCAGTGCTAATGTCGGAACGTGTGGCATTTGCAATATACAACATTGATCCAATCAAATCACGATACTTCGTCTTAGGGTCGAAGTGAACACGAGTATTATCAGTGGCCAAATCCTGACGTAGGATCATGGGATTTTAGACACTGTTCGCAACTAATTGTCTCAATCGTTCCAGTAGTGGTAAAATGGGCTGTGTTTGCTTAACCACAAATTTTCCCTCAGTTCGACTGTGCCTCAATTACATCCCCAGCATCTCCAATCGATTTCACCGTTGAATGTGGAGCAAGCGCAATATGCACTGCTTGTACTTCTATTTCCGTCTTTCACCGACAAGTTTGTCATCCACGTAGAGAACAAAAAATACCAGAGATGCGAGGTCGTCATCATCACAATCATGGCTGACGAATAAATACGGATCCGCTCCACGCTGTGAGATCCCGAGCTCCGTATAGTCTGCACGAAATGTTTTAAACCATACTGCTGCCGCTTGTTTGAGTCCATTGAAGCTCCGTCGGAGTTGGCAGACCATACTTAAATTTTTTCAGGCAGTTCCAGACATATATTCGTCGGAATCGCCATTGATGAAGACGAGTTATATGTCAAACTGGCGAATCAAAGTTGACGTTGGTAGCACACTGCTAGAGATTCACGTTTAGTGTTCATATTCGTTGCAGATGAGTATGTGTGAGTGTAGTCGCCACCGTAAGACTGAGGGTATCCAAGTGTAACAAGCCTTGCCCTGCAACGCGTCACATTGCCATTCTCGTCATGTTTGAAAGTGAATACCC